TTTTCTCAACTCTCTCATTCATTACGCTAGTTCAATTAGTAAAATATATTAATTAGTTCAAACTTTCCCTGTACATCTATTTAAGGGGTGCCCATCCCCTCCAAGGTCGATGGCGCATGAACCATCCCCCTCTCTCCAAAAATTGTATTTCACTCCCCTTCTTAAAAGCAATGCAAGCGAAAGTAAGATTAGACAATTCCAAGATCATATACAATTATACCTGGAGTGGTATGTCCCATGTTTCTTCCCAATTCTCTGTTTTGAAACTTTTCACTCTGAAAATTCATAGCTCCATCGAAATGTGTCCCTCTCAAAAATTCAAAACCCAGTCAACATGTGCCCCCTCAAAAAATTTTGTGCCATGAAACTGGGCACCCCTGTTAAGGGACACAGGCAGGCTAAGAAATGAGGGTTGCATAAGCAATATCATTATTTACTGCAAAGGTTCTTTCAGTGGTGTAAGAATTGATTATAGAAAGAATAATGATCCAAAGTTTGTTTAACGTAAAAAATACAAGCAGAATACAAGCTTTCCCTTGTTTTATTTATTTTTCTAGAAGAGGTGGGTTTCGGGCTGAAGCTCCTCCCCTAAATTGTAAAATGTAACCATGTTTTATGTAAAAAATATTAAAATATTACCTTTTAAAGTATTATTGTTCTTGTAATTTCATTTAATAGGACTTCAAGAATCACTTAAACACCATTTCATATAGGTAGTTTGAATCTTTATTTTTTCCCAAAGTAATTATCATTATATATATGAAAAAAAAACCTTTCAGGGTGAATCCTTCCTCCCAAAATTTAATCCTGGATCAGCTAGTGATGCTCAGAATTATGCAAGGGTGCTCAGAAGGGGGTTTCATGGCACAAGTTGCACCATCAAAATTTTTGAGGAAGGCACATTTTGACAGGTTTTGGAATTTTCGAGAGTGGCAAATTTTGATGGGGTTTTAAATTTTCGGACTGAGGGGCATGGGAGAAAATATGGAACTGACAGCATCAAGTGTAATTGTATATGATTGAACCTTAGCTTGTTGAAATATTTGTTTAATGTATGCCTAAAACAATGAATACAATTTTAATCAGATAAGATAATAATGATAGAAGATAAAGAAATGAAAGTTCATAAAGCCAATAGTTAGTTATATAGATAAGTATAATTTGATTCTCAACACATTGAAAAGGCTACAAATTAATAAGTATTGATTTTCCTTTGAAGTTCCAACCTGTTCCAACTTAAAATGGTGATAATTTGTAAAAGTACTTGTTATATAATAGGTCAAAATTTGATATTTTGTGGAAATTGAATTATCTGCTTGGTGTATAATGTTTTTAGTTAAAAACTGTGAGGGGTAGGTCTCAAATTAATTTAGAATGAGGAATGGCAACCATAATGTAATATAATAGCCTCAAATATTTTTGATAACATATTAATACTATGTAATCGATTTCACCATACATTTTTATTTTAAACTTTGTTAGTAGCAAATTTATAGATTTTATATTATTTCCTGGAAATTGGTTGAAACAGAGATCAGACAAAACAAAAACTGTGATAGAAGAGCAAGAAATTCAAAATTTATTAAATTATAACTTAATATATAGTGAATTGCTTTATCATAAAATTACTCATCATGTACATACAATTAATTAACAGTTTAAAAATAATAAATATATACCATGAGCAATTTCATAAATATCTATAATGAAAAATACCAAAACAATCAAATAAAATGAAGTAAACATTAAAATAAAATATAAAAAAATTGATTAAAAAAATTAAAATTAAGATACATCTGCGTTCATTAATATATTTTTTTCGTTGGATGTATATATTTCGATGAAGAGTTAAAGAACGCAATCTATCATTCCATATAAATGGATTGGTGCTGCTACTGCCGTTGTTTTGTAGAATATAATATATATGGTGGGGGTTAGGGCTCTAGAGAGATAGCCTAACATAACTGTAACCTAAATGTAAACAATCCTCTGGAATAAGCGCCCCCACTCCATCCCAAAAAGCTGCGGGCATGATGTAAACTATTACCAAAAATAAATTTAAATTAGCAATTTCAATTCACTTTAAATCCATTTTTATTCAGAACTTCTATGTAAATAATTTCTTTTTGAATGTTCTGTTATTGTTTAGTGCATAGCCATGCCCATTGCCATTGAAAATATGAATTTCAATATTTTCAATGAACGTGCTCTAATTGCTGCCACATATAATTGTCCATGCGAAATTACTGGACGTCACAATAATACACACATCTTTCCAAAACTTTTAAACTGCGATTTGATTATGGTCATAGCAAATGCAGCTATTAATAGGAATGCTGTTCTTTGAAAGTCGAATGTAAGTGTAGTGTCAGAAAATGTTAAATTAATTCTTGGAATTAAAATTCTTTAATTTAAAATAGCCCCGTTAATACTTCAGTCTCATTCCTGTTCCATTAACTAATGCTTGTGCAGTATTTAAGTTAACAATGAGTATAACTATAGAATATATTTTTAAATTTAATTTATGAGCTTTCATTCCACTAATATTACATGATATCATCTTTTCAAATAATAGACCCAATTACCTCAGTAAATGAAAAGTTTTCGATTTATCAAAAACCAAAATAAAGGAAATCGAATTTGCAAAAGAAAAAACACTAAATGTTTAAAATGATATATCTCTGCAACAAATAGTCCGATTTCGATGATTTTTTTTTTTTTTGTAGAGAATTCAGAAAGATTTCAAATAAATATTAGTATTATCGATGTGTACTTTTTGAGTTATTCGCAAATAAAATACTGAATTCATCATAAAAATGTATGCAGCTTGTTTTCGGGAAAGTATGTTATATACATAAATTATAAAGGTTTCAAGGGGAATAAAACCTTATAATTTGATAATTGATCTTATTAGTTCAATAAGACTTTAGCCAAGTTTTATTGAAATCGTTGAAGCCGTATTGGCGCTACAGTCTTAAGCGATTCACGTTTTTAGGCCGCCATTTCGAAAGGAAAGACCCGATGATAATGAAACGTATACAAAAAAACTTCTAAATATTATTGTGACGTTGTGTCAAGATTTAAGAGAAATCGGTGAAGAACTTTCGGAGATAAGCCGTTTTGAACAAACTACCATTTTTATATTTTTGTTTACCTACTATTTATATTTTTATTTATTGATAACACTAAAGCGCGTCAATATCTATTAAACAAAAAAAGAAAGAAGAAAATCGGTTGAATAATAGACGAGTAAAAGGGACTGAACCGATTTGTGTTCGCCTATTTATATAATGATTTCAATACACCTCAGATCATGGAAAAACAAGAAATAAAAGCTTTGCAACAGTTAATTGTAGTTACTTTTGCTGGAAACACGGGTACTTTTAGAAGACTGGATTGAAAATTACATCATTTCTTTTCTCAACTTGAGGTGAATCCCAAGGTTTTTTTTTTTTGTGTGTATAACTGACCCTACACGATCAGTCATGAATGACAGTCACAAGGCTGACAAGGATTGCTTCAATCATGAAGAACCCTACTTCATGTAATTCAGATTGATGCCATTTTAACTCGACGTTGAGACAACGCAGTATGGATTGCCCGTTAATAATAATGTGTTTCATTAAAAAAGCTCATTTGGTCATCATACTTTATAGCACTGGACAAAGTGGAGATGAAATAATTACTTCCTGGTGCCTGAAAATAGTTTTGACAAAAGTTTGTGTAGTTACTTTTTATTATTAGACATCGACTTTTTATTAAGTAGTAGATTTTATAGATCGATAACAATACAAGTGTTATTAAGATCAATAAAGAGAAATTTTTAATGTTTTTTATTTACTGTGATGTCCTTAATAAAAATGTAAGTCAACTACTTGCAAAAATTAATCAAGGAAAAATATTGCGAAAAAATAAATTCATGAGAACAAAGTAAAATTAACTGTCAAATATACACAATAGTTAAAAATTAATTTTTCCCGTACTTAAATTTGGTAGTTTTCACCTTTTTAAAAAAATTGATTACCCACTTGACTATTAAAAAAAAAAATATGAAGACTGTCTATAAAAATTAAAGTAGGAATATGAAAAAATATTTCTTCTTTCTAGATGGCTATGCCAGGAAGTAAAAAAATAAATAAATAATAAAATGAGTGGTTCTCCTCAGGACTTATGGCTGAAGCCATATCTGCCTCCATATGTCTTCCACCAGCAGCCAGCTTGGCAGAATGTGCTCTGTAGTTTGTTCGCCTTGGCCACATTCACATAGGGGCTGGCCTCAATCTTGTATTTTCTGAAGAGACGCGATTTTAAATGGTTACCCCCAGTCGTGAGGAGAAAATGACAACCTGTTCTCTTCTTTTTAGCTTAAAATAATCATCATAGAGATCTTGATTTGGGTGGTTTACTTTCCACCTCTGGCTTATGACTGCTTTATTAATGGCTTTACACTCATCGAACCTAGGGATGCTCCAAATTTGGGAAAGCTATGTTTCTTCTTTAGCTACAATTTCATTACCCGCAAGCCCGCATTGTCCTGGAATCCATTGTAGAACTATCTATTGATGCTGTGCTCTATTTATTTTAAATGAATTTCAGGAATAACTTAACGGTTATGAGGCCTAGGCAAACTAACCTACCTAGTAGTAAATTTAGTCTCCTCACCACTTTTACCTCAGCCTCTCTTCCATTTCTGCTGATTGAAAGTTTGATTTTCGAAAACCCGCCAGTCACATCCATCAGTACATCAATCGTAATACTACACGATCAATCAGAAAGCCAATAGTGGCTTGGAATGTCATTCCATAAAATATGGACAAAAATTATCTCTTAAAGTATTATCGTTCGTGTAATTACATTTAATAAGAGCTCAAGAATCACTTCTTCAAAACAACATTTCTTACTGGTATGTAGTTTCTTTCTTTTTTCCAATGTAATTATTGTTATATATATTTATATATATATATATATGAAAAAAGCTTACATAACAAAACTTACATTACCTCTTATAAAATCCCTATGGGCACGTACACATTTTTCTTTGTGCGTGATTAAAAACTTAGACGTCCATAACGGATGTCCATCTATGTCCTCATTAACATATTTTGCTAATTGTTGAGAAAATCCTCCATCTAGTAATTTTATTTTATCCATTTTATATTCCAAGAGGCATAGCCTATAATATTTAGAGGACTCATGGATTATTTACTTTATTCACTTCACGTGGTAATCACCTGTTTCAATTATAGGCTTTGAAAATGGGTTTGTTCTAATAATGAATATCTGTATTAAATAACCAATCGCTCATTTGGTCGGACTGATGACTGTATGCTATAGGGGCCTACAAACGATCAGTGATCAACGAACGGTGATTAACAAGCCATATTGCAGTGATGTTGAACGTCTTTGGGCAAATTGGTGGTTGATATTTCATGTTCAAAACTGATTTGATTTAGATCAGTTGGTTGAGCCCCAACGTGCATTTTGGAAACATTAAAGGTGTTCGTCTTTAGGGCTCTTAACTCACATTCTGGATACGTTATCCACAATATTAGTTTATGTTGTTATTATTCTAAGGTCGTCTTGTTAGGTTTCAGATCGAATGTAGGCAAACGATGCATGTTCAAGAGGAAATAAGTTATAAAATTTTAATTCCTAACAATTCAGGATGCTATGAATAAAAATAATCATATGATTTGATCAATATTCCTTTTTTAAGATTGTTCGCTGTTTTTGCCTGTAGTCCGTGGTACGGGCCCCTTTTTATGGAATTATTAATATCCGGCTGGAACTTAGTAAATAGTTTCATCTCATCTTAACCTACAAATATTTTATTAATCGGAATTGGGGCGTTTTCAATCAAGGTCGGCAAACTTTGTCTAATTATTTAAGTACTAAAAACTCATTAACACCCATTTGCTTTCTACTTCAGTCGTAAGATACCTTGAGCACAAAGTCGAAAAAAAAAGGTGGCCTTCAAACATATCGAGCCGTTTGGCGTGATCTACTTCCCCACATTGTCAAAATAACGAGGTTATAAAAGCCAACCGGCTCAATATTGTTGAATACCACCTTTTTCTCGACTTTGTGCTCAAGTTATCTTATGATCCAAGCGGAAAGCAAATAAGTATTTACGAGTTTTTAGTGCCTTATTAAACTGACAAAGTTGGACAACCTACAAAGCCCCAATTCCGAGAATTTTCTTTAATAAAATATTTATAGGTTATGGTGAGATGAAGCTATTTACGAAGTTTCTGTCGGATATTAATAATTTCATAAAAAGGGGTCTCTACCACGGACTACTGTCAATACTTTAATATAATATATTAAGTCCACAGGAAAATACTGACAATGTCACTTTTATTTCTTCAAAATTCATTTACTGATGGATAAAATATATGAAGGAAAATACCATAATCCTATTATGCTGAACATGCAAAGAACAAATTTGTCCGTATTATAAATGATTATTATTTTCTTTTTTAAAACATCAATCTTTTTTCATTATATTTATTGAATTTACAACCATACTAAAATAAAAATGCCAGTAAATGTGTACAGAACAATAATAACGGCAATAATATACTTCAGAGAAACTACCCATTGGTAGCATTCCAATAATAGTTCTAAAATTTTTTTTTTTTTCTTTTTAACTTTCTTTATTGAATATTAATACATTCTGCCACATCGAAGGGCATTAATATTAACGCTACATGATTCATCCACACAATATGTACATACAATTATTATCAATAATAAAGAAAAAGAAATATAAAAAAAATAAAATAAGTAAATTGGTATGCCTGTGTACAAAAAAAATAATGAAATAATAGATAAAAGCTAGATGAAATTAAAGTAAATAAATCACATTCACACCTATGTACAATATTTACATTCACCCAGGGGACTCTGAGTCATGCCTTATTCCCCGACGTCGAAGCCAAGGCAGGATTCCAGGAGATCCCAGTGCTTCTCTCTCAGCCGCGTCACTGTTAGTTCTAAATTATATTATATTAATGACCTAAATGATTCAATTATCCATTGTTCCCACCACCTTTATGCCGACGATTCTCAAATCTATTTATCCTTTTCTCCCGCTGAGTTATTGGTGGCCAAATTGAATTTGCCAAAATTCAAGAAGATTTAGATCGAATTAGTGCCTGGGCCAACTTAAATGGATTAAGGCTAAATGCTGCCAAAACTCAGGCCATTCTCATTGGTTCCAAGCCCCTTCTTAGATCCCACACCAACTTTCCCTCACTCTATCTAAACAACCACCCCATCACCTTCTATCCCTTTGTTAAAAATTTAGGCTTTCTCATAGATCAAATCCTTTCCTGGAATCACCATATCTCTCATATATCCCGCCGTGCAATTTCTACCCTCAAACTATTCCATCACTTCCGCCATCTTCTACCCCAAAATACCCGTAGACTCCTAGTTTCCTCTCTCATCTTTCCCCACTTTGACTACAGCTGTGTGCTGTACGATGGCCTCTCGGTGGAACTGCGTGATAGACTCAAAAGACTTATGAATTGCTTCGTAAGATTTGTAATTGGAACCCCGAGACGCTCCCGTGTCTCCCACCACTACACTGAGTTAGGGTGGCTCTTCCCCTCCTTAAGAAGACAATATTTTCTTGGCACTTTCCTTTATCAAATCATTACCGATCATCGTCCTTCTTATGCCTACAACCTTCTCCAATTTAAGTCCTCAATCCATTCACTCACTACAAGATCCCGGCCCTCTGACCTATACATCCCTTCTCATAGATCTGCCTCATTCCAAAATTCCTTTATAGCCCGCTCTGTCAACTTTTGGAATTCCCTCCCGATCAAAATTCGACATGCCCCTTCCCTGTACACATTCAAAAACCTCCTATTCCAATTCCTGTTCCAAAAACAGTCAGATACCAGCTAACTATTAATATTATATATGTATTGTGTAGCAATCATATAATCATAACACTTGGTAAGAGATAGTACATGCATTTCCTACTATCGACGTAGGAATTTCAATACATACATTTTTTTGTATTTTTTTTTTGTATTCAATTATAAGTAACTATTTATTTTATATATATATTCAAGTAAAGTTTTTTTTTTTTTTTTTTTTTTTTTATGAAATGAACTCATTGTATCTCTTTTTCGTTCTTCATTTCTCAAAGTGTATGTTTATGTTGTTCAACCCTTAAATATAATTTTGTTCATAGTTCAAGTGATTCGTTCATAGTTTTAATTGTTTTGTTCATAATTTTAAATGCTCTGTACATAGTTTTATCTGTATTGTATATAGCTTGTGCACCTAAGGTTTTCTTTACTTTTTTTTATTTTATTATTAATTTTATTTATTGTTTCAACGTTCAGGCCAGTAATATTCTATTATTTTGTACATTATTGTTATTCTGAAGGGACTTAGTCCCAGAATAAAGTTTTTTTTTCTAAAAAAAAAAAAAAAAAATTAGAAGAACTTGATGCCATCTTGAGAAAATTGGCAATACATGGAACATAATGATCTTTATGGAAAATTTTATTTATAGCGAAATATGCTGCGTTTAAGAATTTTGAATTGTTGAAGGACTGGGTACGAGAGGGATTTGATGGTTTGAGGGAGCCCTAAAACTGAACCCCACAAGTTCTAATTGGCCTTATTATATTCATGTAAATGATACTTGGATTAATCCTGAACAAATTTATATTTTTACTATAACTAAAACTCTAGACTTTCTAATGAGGAATGAAAAATTATTTGAATAAATAATTACCCGAATAATAATAAATTTGGATTTGTCATCATCCTTCTGTGATAATTTCCGTTTTCATCGTCTTAAATTAAATACTTTATTATGGAGTTTAAAAGCACTAAACTGACAATAATGATCTATATTAATAAAAACGCAAATGTTCATTTGTTCAAAACCGGTAATCTCCGAAACTTCTTCACCGATCGTTTTGAAATATTGACATAATGTTTCTATCGCCAGGAGTGTTTTTATATACGTTTAATTACCCTCCTCCCCTGTCTTTCGTTTCGGAATAGCGGCCGAAAAATCTGTGTCGTTACAGACTGTAGCGTCTAAACGGCTGTAACTATTTTAATTAAACTTGCCTAAAGTCTTCTCCTTGAAGCCTTTTTAATTTATGTATATAACATTGTTCCCCGAAAAGAGTATGATAAAAAAGTTACGGTGGGTTCAAAACTATATTCGCGAATAACTCAAAAAGTACGCAATTATTGTTGTATTATACCCATTATTATTTAAAAGAGTTTTTGATTTCCTGCAGATAAAAAACAAAATCACTAAAATCGGACAATTTGATGCAGAGATATAATGCTTTAAACATTTAGTAATTTTTCGAGGGGGATTTAGAGACCGATTGCTTCTTATATAGGCAATTATACAGCAACACGTGGCTGGGTCAGCTAGTTAGCAATAAAATAAACAAATCAATGACTTTTGAAATGTGAGCAATCTTTTCCAAACTTGTTTTATTGAAATGTTCTGTATTTTAAAAATATACTAGTTTCTAAATCTGAACGATCTGCCGTTTATATGGTAATTCTCTTGAATAAGTTAGTACCTTTCTTCTTTATTTATATATCAATAACAATAATAATAATAAAAGGCTTAGCGAACCCGAAGGTTCGATGCGGACACCACCAATCGCTTGTTAAACACCTCCCTCCACCGTTCGCCATCCAAACCCAGTCCCTTTAGATTATTTATATATTAACAGTTATTATTTTATTTATTTATTTTTTTTAATATTTTATTTTCCATCACTACAATACTTTGCCTATAAAATTGATTTTGCGTTCCTTTCTAATTTCATTTAGTGATTATTAAGCTATTGTTTTAGCTCCGATTTGCAGTATCGAACCTCTATTACCCAACTGTTCTCGTTAATTTATCCTAAGAGCTATTATACTTAATTTATTACTAGTATTTTGTTATTATTCATTGTAATAGGTCTTTTGGCCAGATTTATGGTTAATTTATATGAACAATACTGTTATTCTAAAGGGGCCTAATCCTAGAATAAAGATGATTTTTCTATTCTATTCTATTCTACCTACCGAGGTAGCTAAAAAACCAATAAGGCACACACACGTTTTAATTTACTATAATTCAGGTATTCTATCCTGGCAGGCTATCCTGTAATTCAAATAATATCAAGATTTATATCCAAGAAAAAAACAATAGTGAACCATCATTTTATCAAAAACCGTTTGATGATTTAAAAAAATTATTTTATTAATATTTGATTCGTTTCATATATAAATATAAAGCGTTTATGCGTTCTGCCTGAAAATATAACCTTTAATAAAACATAATTTCTATTATTTTTAATATGATGACTTTTACGGTATGAATGCAATCTCTGAACTCTATTATAAGTGTCCTTAACTGTGACAAATTGTAATATTTCTGAATAAAGTGTTTTAATAATAAAAATATGATGACTTAGTCGGAAATGCGAGAGCTAAAAATGCCTGTAGAAATCAAATTCTGTTAATTGTGAAATGGTTAATTATTTCAAATAAAAAAAATTAAAGGGTACTTTAAAAGAAGAAATATTTAAAATTAGCTCTTTTAGCTCTGTTTGAGAACATCAATGAGAATAAAACCTAAATTATATTAAAAATTGCTTAATATTACGCTTCAATAATGAATTTAATCAAAAGGTATAAAATCGACCATAGAAAGGGCTACTTTCAGTTAATCGATTTTGTCGAAAAAACAGATCGATACATAACAAGCTAAATGGTAAAAAATGTGGGTAGTTGTGATTACGTATTTCTTATCATGAGTATTATCTTTATAATCCATTTAATTGTAAGGTAACCAAAATGAATAACACTATTTTTAACAAGATTTCTTTAATAACATTATGTACAGAGTATTTAAACACATCATAAACTTACATACCTATTTATATACCATAAAAAAAAAATTAGATATTTATGAAAATATTTGATTTAAGTGCAAATTATGGATGATTTATGAAGGTTTGATGAGTAAAAAAAATATATTAAAGTTCGAGGTTTTTTTCTTCCCACTTTTTAATTTCATATGACATTCTTCGTATGTCATTGTCGTCAGTTCTGCAGCATCCTCCTACATAGGGTATACCCATGTCTATCCATTCATTGACGTATGCCTCGACACTTACACAGTTTTCAGAGTTGAGCCACCTGTAATGCACATATTTTATAAATTATTATGATATTGATAATTATGTGAATTTATATTTTACAGTAGCTGCTAGATCGGAGGCAGAAGTTTGCTTGGAAATGAAGTTTGCTCTCCCTCTCCCTCTTTCATTATACTTTTTTGTCGGTTTGTAGGAAATTTAAAAACATTTTAAATCATCATATTAATCATAATATGATGAATTAATCATATTTAATAAAAATGTTCATTTTCTCCTCACTTCTGGCCCACAGGCCTAATTTAATAAACAACCATACTTGATTTATTATTATTTATTTATTTATTCTCTATTAGCTTAGATTTATGGACAAGAAATGAGGATAAAATAATTAATGAAGAAGACCAAGCATATAAAATAGAAAACACACGACTTTCACTTACTCCCCTTTTTTTTAGCAGAAATAAGTATTTTTTAACAAAGGGGAAATGAAAGTAAAAATTATAGACGCTAAATTTATCTATATTTCATTTTGGGTATTTTTATTTGTTAAGTATCCTTATAACATACAAATTTTAATTTTATATAGCTGTAATCTGTACAATTAAATAGTAAACAGTACCAACAATTGCATCTATGGAAACCGCATCTATGTACTCAATATTATCGCTGACCGTATTATATTAAGCTCATGTTACGTATGAAAACCTGTTCTAATCTTTCGGGTGACCTCGGGCGAGTTCGTATTCCTTTGATTCCTCCATTACAACTATTTTCTATTAACTAAAACAAACACATATACACGCACGCACGCAAGCACACCCTTTTGTGGGACTTAGTTATTTGGACTCAGGAGACCTTAAAACGTATATTTCCATTAAAAACTGAGATTCGAAAATTATATATATATATATATATATTAGAAGTAATTTTATACAAATTCTACATATGGTCGATACAAATGCTAACTATCGAATATGAACAATTTTCAACCCTGCACTCTAGCGATTGTAATTGTAATTAAATATTTTTAAAGACTGAATACAAAATCTTCAAAGATTCATAAAAGCACATATTAGTGTGTAAATTAAAATACTGCCGTTGTTAGGGCTGAATTGGTAATGATAATAGAGTGGTGATTTTCAGATTCGATAGTTAGCATTTGTATCGACGTTATATATTCCGAATAAATACAAAATTTATTCAAAGAAATACATTACCTATTTCTCCTTCACTAAACAATATTTATCACATGATCTGAGTTGTGAAATGAAATTATTACTAATATTTCTCAATGAGAACTTCAAATCGCTTGTTTTTTGTTTTGTGTTTTCTTAATTTATATCAAGAAAGTTGCGTTTTCTTGTTAAAAGTTGTTTCTTTCCCTTCTTGATGTTTTGTATATTTTTCGTTATGCAATTTTTTTTTATTTGTACCATATTGTTGTCACAAGAGACATGCATAAACATAAAAAAAAATAAAAAAAAATTGTTTGAAATGCTCAATGTGAGTAACCTAACAGAGTAATGCCACTCGAAAAAGAGATGGAAGAGCTGGTTACACATTACAAAAAGAAAAATCAATCGTTAGAAGACAGAGAGATGGAATTAATGTACAGGTTACAAATGCAAGAAAATACCATGCTTGCCATCCTTATGGCAAATATTTTTAAAATGATGGCACGACAAGCACGGCAGCCTGCACCATCAACTGGAATACCTCCGGGTACTGATGGTACCCCGAAGGCTACTGCTATCTTGAATCCAGTAGAGGAAGAACTGATGTCGAGGCTATGTACACTTGAAGCAAGACTCGAAACGGAATTGATGATGCTTCAGGAATCTCGTGAAAAAGAGAATGTTTTATGGAAAAAATTGTACAAACTGGAAATGATTTTAAATTCCAAAGACACCGATACAGGGCACATCCTAGATCGTAATCCTGGACGTGATTTAGACATTTTAGAGAAAGTTATAAAAATGGCTCGAGAGGGTATCGAAATGCAACGAAGAATCAAAGAATTAGAAGTGAAAGAAGCTCTGTATCAGAAAACCATAGATAAATATGATCGTTTGTTTTCTGACAAGGATTAAAACAATCCTGCGTGAAGGAGAAAGACGTTTCATAACGGAATAAAGAAAGGAACTTAAAAGGATATATCAATAAAATGTAATCTGCTAATTTATCGCTCTCAGAAGATAACAATTAGAAGATATGAAGCTATTAATTGGCATTACAAATAAGAAAATTACAACATATTTTATCGATAAGATTCAGATGTATTCTTTTTTGTAGCCCAACGTATAGAGTATTCATCCAAAGAAGTAAACCTAAATAAATGATATTATATGTTACAGTTACTGCATCAGGTTTAGATTTATAAGACAAAATAAAAGTAGTGGATTCGAACCTTTTTAAATTTCTGATTGAACGTCCCCTCCCTTCCCAAGATTGATGGCGTAAGAACGTATTCCTCCATTCCCAAGATATTTTATTGCTCACCTTTTCTTAAAAACAGAGCAAGTGAAGATAAAATTAGGAAAATCGTAATCCCCTTGTGGGCACCTCTGGATTGAATATTTTAATATTCATTAAAGTCGCGAAGTTAAAGAAGAGTTTTTCTGGTGATAATTTAAATAAAAACATTGCTTTACTTGATTTTAGTTTACTTTTCCCAGCATGTTATTCCCAGCTTCCCGAAAGAAAACGAAGCCTACTCTTGATTGTAAACTACCCTACATTTTAAGGACATTTTTATTCAATAATAATGGTTGATAGTAAGTTTTAAAATAATTAAATAAATATAATTTTTAGGATTCTGATCTGAATAATTTGATTACGCTGGACGACAAAAAAAAATAATTTTTGAATGTTTTCAGCACTTCATGAATCAATTCTTACTAATTTTGGGTTGAGAAAAACGAATATGACTATAATAAAATTTTCTTAGCTCCATTTTTGTGATATACACTAGGTTGAAGTATTACATATTAACGGGTTATGAGAAAAAGATATATTTTAATTATATATACTGACAACATTAAAAATGCATTTGATTTTTCGAAATGGTAGTTACATTCGAAGGGTTCTAAATTTATGGAAGAATACCTCGCAGAAGATCGTGTCTGAAGAGATTATGTGGTAGCTTTATGAGATCATCGTCTTTTAGCTTGCCTCGTGTAAGATAGTGCCGAAGCATCCGTACACAAAGACCAACAGTAATCTGCAAGCATTGCTTCATTCCAATGACCCTGATATCTTTGTTTCGTAACAGAAATGTCCTGAATCTTTCTCCATGTTCATCACTAGCCGCTTCAAAACTAGTAGGGAAAAAGTATTTGTAGGAGTGGAGAAAATAGATTTTAAGGGAAATGTTGCATCTAAGGTTATGGTACTTTTGCAGGAGCACTGTCACCAAATGCGTGTAGTTGTCATCTCTTTTGTCGCCTAAAAATCCACAAACAACAACTCTCTTGAAGGCTTCCTTTTCTTTCCCTTTCAAAACTTGGCCAAATGTAGGATCCTTCACAAGTACTCGAATTTGTGGTTCGACAAAAATAACTTCCTTAACTTTTGCACCTCTTAGTTTCGGAAATTTCACTCTTTTGTACTTAAAGACCCATCCTTCTTGGTTCATACCTTTGACAAAATTTTTCATCAAAACAAGCTTGGTATGCAGGGGTGGAAGTAGAATATCTTCTGGGTCCATAAGAGGCTTAGCAACGAATTTTTTCTCGCTAGGGTTAAGATTTCTTGCAGGCCAGTCTCCTTTAATGTAATGCAATTTCCTATCTTTACTGTCCAACATACATAAGAAGCAGCAATGTTTTGTGAACCTCAGTTGCATTCCTAAGAGTATGGGAATGACTTTTAGATCACCATAGATTTTCCATTTGAGTGAGACCAAGAGGGCTGTCACATTTCTATATGTCTCCTTCATGTTAACTGTATAACCAATAGGAATTGAAGAAAGAAGGTTGCAATTATGAAGTAACATAGCTTTCAAAATAAGCTTGAAGGAGTCTATTTAGCCTCCATTCAGTTCGATCATGATTCGAATTCAAAGATTTCATCAAGGTATTAATGTCGCAGCAAACAACAATATTGGTTTTCTTCTCAAAAAAGGGAAGCGGTTCCCTGTGACGTTTTCTGTTCTGTGAGATTCTTACATCACTTTCGAGAAGATTTCAATGCTGTAGAGTAGTCGAAACCCAACAATTTCTGCCTTCTCCTTTGACAGGCCAAGGTTTCTAATGTGATCACTCAATTCCCCTTGACTCAGTCTGTGCGATTTATCATCTTTTCCCTTAAAATCAGGATCACGGGATGTGGAAGGGTTGTTAGGTTCTTCTTCTTGTTACACACTGTCTTCATATGCTACTTCAAACACACAATAGAATGGAGAAGGTAAACTGGTAAACTATCTGAATGCAGAATGTGTCGAATAGCAGATCGAAGATTCGGGTACTTAACTCGGATTCTTCTTTTCTTCAGAGACAATTCTGTCTTTACAGGTGGAATCAAGGAGAAATAGCAGTCTGAAGAGCTTTGGGGTTTGTTATTTGACAGGTGTTCCAACTTCCAAAAAAAATTCTCCCAAATTGAAAATGTTGACTCTAAAAAATGAAATGTCACTTCATTTCCTTCTTCATATTCATTCTTCATTTCCAAAGTAAGAATTAATCTGTCATTTTTATTGTGATTTTTGAATTTAGCTGATGGAAATACATATGAATCGACTATTTTTGAGCCCGAAACATTATTGTTGCGCAGTGTTATTAATTTTAATAATTATTATGTGAATAAAGGCTGGAACATACTTATCCGAATCGCTTCCTGGCCGAATCACTACCGTATCAGGGATACCCAGAAGAGGGTTTCATGGCGCAAATTGCGTCATCAAAATTTTTGAGGGGAATACATTTTGACGAGATTTTGAATTTTTGAGGGGAGCACGTTTTGGCGGTGTTATGAATTTTGCGGAATGAAAAGTTTCAAATCAAGGGCAAGGGAAAAGCAAACCGCAACAAGTTTAATTGTATATAACCAACGGTTTGTCAAATTTTACTTTTGCTAGAGCTATTTTTAAGAAGAGGAGAACAATATAATAAGTTGGGAGATGAGGTGAAGTTTATGTGACATTACCTTGGAAGGGAGGTAGGTGTCCGAATGATGTATCTTCTCGATGAAACTAAACATATATTTATGTTAGGTGATGATCGAAGACACGAGAAACTACTTTTGTACGGCCGTGGTGTGGCATGTTTTTCCCAACCTTAACTATAATCACAACGCTATGAAGTAATAAAAATTTTCTTTGTATCATACTTTATTATGAGTATTTTTTCTATAAATATTTTATTATTATACGTATTTTCTTTGTTCTGAAAATCTCGGTATATATCTGTGGTTATACTTATTTTAGCATTTTACGTTCAAGAGAAACCAGCAATTTATCAACTAATATTTAGTAGAAGACTTTTTACTCATTACATATTTTATTATTTAGTATATTTACTTATTAGGAAGGTGGGAATATAAGTTAACCTAAGTCAAGGCAGGCTTCTTTCGATATTGAGATCTATTATCCACATTATTTTTATAATCCATAATTTACTCATTAATGAATGGAAGAATACAATGTAATTGAATAGTTTTATCAGTTTTAATAACTCCTCATTGCAATTTTTGTTGGCCACCAGATTTTCAAGATGGACCTCAAGCATCTACTACAAATGGGTTGAGATGAATAGAGTCACCCTTCTTATCTCTGACCTATTGAGGAGCAAGGACTTTATTTTGTAGTTGAATATGCGGAGCCTTTATTTTATCGGCACGCAAAAGGATACTGAACATTCAGAAAGCGCCCTTAGCTTTTCTGATTCCTTGTGTTGGAACAACATTTCCAAGGTTATATTATAATGTTTTTGGAGGAACTAAGATTGTTTCCTGTAGGCAAGATTAATTTTGCTATCTCTAATTTTATCCTTTCCCCTTCCCAACAAAACTCAACAGAATTTTAAGTTATATTATATTTTATTGTATTGTTATATTATTCATAGCAAGGTTATTATCTTGGTATGATACTTAAACAAAACTCATTCTCCGGGTAGAGTTTCACAAGAATTGTTTAAAAAATATTTTAATACCTTCCAGCGTGAACATCGTATTTCTCTCCGTTGTTGGGATAGACTATTAATGGAAGATCCGGTTGATTTCTCCTCAGGTCCCTGAACAGTGGTTCGACCAACGAAGGATGGAAACAATTGGCTCCAATGGCTACCAGTTGATTCGACTCTCGCCAACACTTGAGTACATTTTGTTGGAAGCTTTCGCCGTTACTGACGGAAGTTGAATTCTGAAAATAATTGAAACCATCAATATTGAAAAGAAGACTGGATGATGATATTTGAAAATGGATTGCTTTCATACCTTGACTGAAAACGATATCCAGGCCTTCGCATGTGGGAATTCTCTTAACAGTTTTATCAACGCTTCGGCTTCTTTGTAACACGGAACAGTTTCGAAAGCAAGTATGTCCGCACCGGCTTCGATCAGAGCCTGCACTCTTGGCCGATGAAACGCTATGAGCTTTTCAGTTGTAACTTTATCCGTGTAAGTGCCGGTGTATTCTGAGCCATCGTGTAAGTAAGCACCGTAAGGACCAACTGATCCTGCTACTTGGACGTTAAATTTTTCACCTGGAATCATATTATTTCTAATAATTATCAATTTTATATATAATTACAGTTGGAAGTTATCAAGTTATAAATAAATGATTATCATTACTATTCATGTACAGTACTAGTACATCCGGGACTCTGACCTACGGGTGTTTAACAAGGGGGAAGTTCGTTTAGCAAACAGGGCATATAATACTGCCGATATTGACCTCTTTGCAGGAACAGAGGCTGCTCTGAAGGTGCCATTTAAAGTTCTCCGCCAGAAATATGGGTTTCGTAGGCTATATCTTTGACACGGTTCATGATTTTACCAACGCCTTCTTAGGAAATCGAAAGAAGAATTCAGGAGGCAAACTGTAAGTACTATGGTCTTAGCACGTTCTTTAAGTCTAAGATAACTGCCAAAACTACAAAAAACATTCTTTACAAGACGCTGATCAGGTCGTCCTTACTCAAGGATCGGAAACTTGAGTAATTAACTAGATAGATGACCAACGACAAATTTTATGAAGAATTTATGGACCAGTACGAGACCGTTGCGAGAATGATGGTCAAAGGAAACGTCACAACATGGAGCTTTACTCTGTGTTCTCTTATTCCCCATTGGTGGAATATGTTATCGATAACAGACTTCGCTTTTCGGAGTATTTAAGAAGAATGAGGTCAAATCGTATTAGGATTGCTTACCACACACCCTCAGGGAAACTGTCCCCTACACCACATGTTCGTAGAGGCTAAATAGTTAATCCTTGGTGATTATTAAAATTAAATATGAAATTGGATTATTACCGTCTCTAGAAACAACTGTGTTTCAAATCGAAAAAGCTAATCCAAAGTGATACTACAGCATTAAATATAAACCATTCCGATTCTTGCATGGCCGTATTCATTGTTCTCTTTTTGGAAAATGAATTGAATTTATGGCTTATATTGTGAAAGGTAACTAGCTTATGAAAATAACATTATGATATCTTCGTGTGTTAAATAAAATTTAACCTTATAAATGATTTAAATATCTATTACTCAGGCATTCAAAAAACTATTTTATTCTTAATTATTTAACACATTACATCAAATTTACGTTTCGGAGTTGTAACCTCATCTTCAGAACCTATAATTTTATTCTTGTTCTTGTTATTGTTCAGGCAAAGATGATTTTAAAAATAATAATTGGCCAATTTCAACAAATTACTATTCACATTATAACAAAACGTGATTTTCCTATTAGCTTCTGCTTTGCCCTTTGGAACTGCTATCGTTTTAATCTTTACGCAAATTCTTTTGTGTAATTGTGTTATGTAAAATGTCAATCTCAACAAAAAATCTAATAAAAATGGAATCGTACAATTGCCTTAGATTGCAAAAACTATATAGATTTTGTCATATTTTGCACAGTTTTCAAAGTTTTATTGTTTTGTCAAAAGTAATTCATTCTGCATTTAATCTGAAATGGGGCGTTTTCAATATGGAGATCGCTATACATACATGTACATTTTAATGAGGTATTAGAAATTAATGAATAGCCATTTAAATTTTATACTTGATTCTTAAGATAATTTGATCAAAAACTCGAAAAAAAGATGACCTACAAAAATAATGGGCTGTTTGGTCTATGTAACCTCGTTGTTTTTCATGTTCAGGTTAGAGGTCTCGTCATAAAATCGAACCATTAACGAAAATCTAGTAATAATTTGATAAAAAGAGACCTGTACCATAGACTTATGCCATCTAAGACGGAATAAGTATTTGAAAAAATATGCAGTGCGATTTTTGGTCAGGAAGATGAGTAACGGGAACATAGATGATGCCATTTGAATACGAACCATGTTGAAGAAGTATTATGAATGCTAATTTAAAATCATATACCTATCCAAAGACTAGAATCGCTCTACTTTGATTTGATGGTTGCTCGTAGAATGTTCTTTTGGGAGCATTAGAAGGAAGACATAATAGGTTAAAAAGCAGAAGAGAAGGGAAATTAATAACTTATATCATATTTCATTGCTGTTCTCTCTTTTTTTTTTCATGAAATTTACAAGCGAATTAAAATAAAAATACAACCAGTGAATCTGAACAAAAAAATACAATGACATGAAAACGCTTCTAGAGAAATTATCATCGGTAGCACACAAATGAAAGTTCCCGAATTAAATATTTTCGAGACCATCTTCTTTTCAGATACCTCAGAAGGATCGAAGAGGAAGTTAGCACCAACAGGGTTTGGATGGGTCTGAAGTTTCTTATGGAAGGATAGTTATCTGGATTAGGTTTTATATGTGATAAAGTAATGGGCACAAGTATGAACTAAAAAAACAAATTATTTTTCTATTTTGAGGAGACTTATGTCCAAATAGATCTCGTTGTGAATGGGGAAAATTTACTGATAAGTGGGTAACCTCTAGACGATATCCGATATTTCAGATGGGATTTTACATTAGCTCTTAGTAACTTAAATTATTGCGTAGATCGGAATATATATGTTCTACTTTAAGGGTTTAAGCAGCGATGGTTATATAAAGTTACTTTCATTTTGAAATGTATAAATTATATCAGATGTTTCTGGATTAAGTGGCCAAACTGAAAATACGAATTAAGGACCTCAAAACAAGAAAAAAATACCTCTGAAGGTATGTCAGCAAACACTTTGTTTTTTCACACCTTAAGATTTTCGTTGTTATAAATTATTTACGTTATATTAAGTAAATAAAACTTATTTATTTGTTCCAACTGCTTTATTAATTAAGCATAAACATTAACATACATATTAAATGTTGTTCAATGTGATTTCCTTGAGTATTAAAACAGGCTCGGCATCTTTCTTCAACAGCAGCAATGGCAGAACGGAACTGGATATATGATATTGTTTCACAAGTACTCTGCAAAAGCCTCTTCCAAACTGATAAATGTTATTGAGAGTTCCCAATGCTAATTCCAAATAGTATTAATCCTTATGTTGCCTTTTAGCTTTAATCCTTAAATAGCTTTTATACAGTTAATGATAAAAGGTCATATTACTATTCTATCTAATCCATCTCCTAAACAAAGCGGTTGCGGACATACCATCACTTTGAACAACATTTGATATGAATGTTAATGTTTACATTTTATTAATAAAGTAGTTAAAACAAATAAATAGATTTTATTTATTTCATATACCGTAAGTAATTCATAACAACGAAAATGTTTAGATGTGAATATCTTATAAACAAAGCGTTTTCGGAGATACCTTCTGAGGTAATTTTTTTCTTGTTTTTAGGTCCTTAGTTCATTTTTGCAGTTTGGCCACTTGGCCAAATGGTCGCATTTGAAAATTTACTGTTTTTTACAAAAACAGGTTACTTCTTTATGCTTTATTAGTATAATTTTATATTTTCTTTCCCTCTACTATTTTCTAAAGTAGCAAACTACTTATAGCTGCTGCAGACTACAAAATGTGACCTTTTGCACAAATAGAATAAGAATGAAAAAAATGTTACATACGAGCTTTTGCACTACCGATATATAGAATTACCTGTTTGTTGTTGTGCCAGTTCTATTCCTTTCCTTGCTAGCCGAACAGAGTTCCTTATGACTTCAAGGGATTCCTCCTTTTCCATATTAAGGTAATTTTTATAACCTTCAACTGTAGACTGGTAAGATCCCGTTGTTATTATGTTTGAACCAGCTTCCATGTAACAAGTGTAATTTATAATGAGTTAAAGATTTTATTTTATTTGTTAAATTATACAATTGTGTAAGAAGATATGAATAGTTTATATTTATATCTTTACTGAATTAAAGTTCATTAATCTGATTTTGATGCATTGCTACGCATAGACTTTATCGTTGATGTTTGTTTTACACTGTTTTACTTTAGAATAGGTTTTGGTTTTAAGTTTTGAATTAATGAAGTCCCCGATCTCCATCTTCGGTGTGCTGTATTTTTAGTCCTCGTTTATATCGACTATCAAGTCGGTAGGAAAGTATCAAAACGAAAACTTTGAATATTAATGGAACGAGTACATTTAAGTGATCATGCGTTGAAAAGTGAAATATAGATGTGCCTTTTATATTTGCTATTACTACTGTGTCATATGACTAGTAAAGAAGAAATTTAAAATATTTTATTATAGCCGTGGTACAGACCCCATTTTATCGAATTATTAACATCCGCCTGAAACTTCGTAAATAGTTTCATCCCATCATAACCTACAACTATTTTATTTACAAAAACTCTTGGAATTGGTGCGTTTTCAATTTGGAGGGAGGCAAACTTTGTCTATTTAATTAGGTTCTAAAAACTCGTAAATACACATTTCTTTTCTACTTGGATCGTAAGATAATTTGATCACAAAATCGAGAAAAAAGGTGGCCTCCAAAAATATTGAACCGTTTGGCGTAACATATCCCTCCAAATTTTCAAAATAACGAGGTTATATAGGAAAATAGCTCAATATTTTTGTAAGCCACCTTTTTGTTCAATTTTGTGATCAATTTATCTTTGCGTTCCAAGAAGAAAGCAAATCGGTATTTACGAGTTTTTAGTACCTAATTAAATAGACAAAGTTTGCTCCCCGCCAGATTAAAAATGCCCCAATTCCAAGAATTTTCGTAAATAAAATAGTTGTAGGTTACGATTAGGTGAAACTATTTACGAAGTTTCAGGCGGATGTTAATAATTCGACAGAAAGGGGTCTGTACCACGGACTATTAATCCTACAAGTATAAAGTTTATTAGTCAGTGTATGTAAAACACGTGATTTTTAACCTTTTTTTAAACTAAATTCTTTTTTAAGGTTAATAAATAACGGTTTAAAGAGAACTTGATATATATGCCAATAAAAATAACACTTCAAAAGAAAAGTTTAGAATGCTTTTACCTGTTACAATATCTTTAACGAAATTAGCTGAATTCATTATTTTTGCTTCAGTATCTTTTGGTAATGATACAATCATCAATTCATCTCTTATAATGTAAATAGATAAGGAACTATTGTATATACCTATCACAAAATCCCTGTGTACAAATGCACATTTTTCTGGACATTTTGCAAGAAATTTCGCTGTCCAAAGAGGATCTCCGTCTACTGCTTCATCAACGTATTTCACCAACTGGGTTGAGAATCCTCCATCCAATAAAGTCACTTCTCTTGCCATTGTTTTTTATTTATTATTATCCTGAAACATAAAGTAATTTAAATTTCCTTTTAATTTTTATTGAAATTGAGATGTACCAGATTCTTTGAATTGAGTTATATCCCGCGGTACAGACCTCTTTTTATCAAATTATGAGCATGCTTTTAAAACTTCATTAATGGAATGAGTAACCTACAACGTTTTTTATTAATGAAAATTCTATAAAGAAGGGCATTTTCAATCTGTAGATCAGTAAACTTTGTTTATTTAAAACTCATTAACGCCCATTTACTTTCCACTTGAACTGTAAAAAAGCTTGATCGAAAAATTGAAGAAAAATGTGGCATATAAAATATTGGGCAGTTTAACATGACCTCCACCCTTCCAGCATGTCAAAATAACGAGGTTATGTATTTTTGTATCCTATCTTTTTTCTCGAATTTGTGATCAATTCATCTTACGAGTACTATTCAAGTGGAAAACAAATAGATGTTCATGAGTTTTTAGCACCTTATTAATTTCATTAATGTAATAAAAAAACGTCTCATTACTGAGAATTTTCGTAGGTACAAAAGTTGTGATATAATTAATGCATCCTTGAAGTTTTAAACGGATATTAATAATTTGATAAAATGAGGTCTATACCACGGACTATCATGTTATGAAACTACTTTCGTAGTAGTTCAAGCAGTACCGGGCTTAAAAATTTGGCGCCCCCGGACAGTAACGTCATTTCTCCCCAAAATTTAATATTTATATCTTAAATTGTTTCATATTAAGTAATATTTGAATTTTATTTCATTCAGCATGTCTGTAATTCAGTAATATTATTAACTGGCTAAAATAAATTACCCTCATACGCTTTGTAACTTTTTTTTTATTCCTGACCTTATCCTTCCTGACCCTTTCAGGTCGGTGCTTCGGGTTGCCCGGCCCTAAGACCGGCACTGAATTCAAGTCAAGATTCCGTCGTAAACCAACGACTTCCTGTCCTACAGTTCCTTTAACAATACTCCACTTATCCCTGTTGAGCAAATCCGATACCTAGGACTCCAACTGGACAAACGACTAACTTGGAATTCTCATACTAGACTGAAACGACAAGAAACCGCTCGACGTTTCCGATTACTTCAGCACTTACTAGACAAACGCTGTAAACTTCCCATTAATTACAAAAGATTCATATACTTGACTATAATAAGACCTATTTGGACTTACGGAGTTGAGCTATGGGGCTCCACTAAACCATCGAATTCCTCTCGCATCCAATCCTTACAATCCAAAATCCTTCGTAAAATCCTCAATGCTCCTTACTTTGTCACTAATAGAATTATCCATAAAGATCTTAATGTTCCTTATGTTTCAGATCTGGCCCAATCCAGATATCTATCCTTCCATAATAAACTTCAGAATCATCCCAACCCTCTCGTTTCTAACCTTGCTTCCTCTTCAATTCCTGATAACCCTCCGAGGCGTCTGAAAAGATGGCCCCGTGATCTCCTAATGTAGTCATATCATTAGAGTGCTACCATCGGGTAGTTACTCAGCAAGTGTATTCATGTCATTATATCAATTATGTCCAAATTTACTTGATGTATTTATGTAATACAGTTGTAAATGTCATAAAGAAATAAAATAAAATAAAAAAAAGTCAAGATTCTATTAGAACATGCAAAATTAATTGCATTCATAACTCAATTTGAGTAAATAATGAGTTATGGCGCCCGGTCTTAAGCAGCTTTTACTGTTTAAACAAACAAACAAAAAATCTGTCTTGTTGATAAGCAACTAAAACAACTGCATCGTAAAAGCGTTATGAAATTATATTTGTAAACACATTGATCCGTTCCTGTTGGATTACTTTTTTATACATAAATATAAAGTATACAAAGGAATTCATCTTTAATTATATATAGCAAAGATATTATGACTGTGTACAATCTTTGATTATTTGCTAATTTTTTCTTAAAAACAAATTTATAAAGTATTGAATTGAAATTACTAAAACTTTTTAAGCCAATTTTTCAACATAACTCACTACCTAGTTCTGCCATAAATACAGTTACAAAAATTGAACTTTAGTATTATCCTTGGGTATTATTTAGATAATCCTTCCTCAGTGATGGTTTGGTGGGGAGTTTGCTTTGATGGCACCATAAAGCTCCATTTTTGTGAAAATGGAATTAAAACAGCCGCTAAAAACTATATGGACGATATTTTGGAACCTGACGTCAAGCCTTTAAATGATACTGTTTGTTGGAAGTCGTTGGGTTTTCCAGCAGGATTCTGCTCTAGCTCACAAGCCCAGGTCAACTCAGCAGTGGCTGCAAAAGAACATTCTCTGTCTCGTATTGGCCCTTAGGAAACTCTGATCTTAACCCACTAGATTATCGGCTTTGGTCTGAACTGGGGAGGTTGACATGTCATAGAGAACATCCCAACTTGGAAAGCCTCAAACTATCTCTGGGCCGAGCAATTGAACACTTTCCTCAAGAAGTGTGTGCTGCTATTGATGACTTTATCAAGGTCAAAGGGGAATATTTTGAGTAATTTCTTTTTGTTTTACTCTCTATAGATATACATTTTAGTTTCTGCTAAAGTTTTTGAAAAAAATAATTTTTCTTTTGAAATCTGTACTTCATTGTAAAAATATTTATGACAGGATTAGGTAGATGCTATTCACAGTTCTCTGGCTCTGTGTATGTTATTTTATTGTATCATTGGCGCAATAGTTTTACTATATTCACCGCTTGGTGAAATAATTGTATGAACTATTACTCTAATTAATAGTACAAAAATAAGTAATACTACATATTATTAGTTTGTTTTAAGAATTTGTATACATACTAATATATTTCGATTGCAATAAAATATTTTCAAATATGAATGTATAATTTATTTGGAAACCAACTATTGCGAAGTAATTGCTATTAATTATAAAATATTTTTCTTCGTTAGATTATTGAATAATGAAGGTGTATTTTAATTTAAATACTAAACACAATGTTTAACTTTGTGTAAGTTACATAAAAATAACTTAGATGTTTATAGCTTTTAAAATATATTTTGATGATTTTTAAACATATTGAACCTTATACAGACAGCGTTTATATTCATGAAATATGAGTATATACTTATGTATGTGTATATTTGTTCACATAAACATAAAATATTGCCGCTTAGAAGGAAAGGTACACATTTTGAAATGTTTTGGAGTCTTTAGGGTTGTGTTTGAAATTGCATTATCCAAAACGTAACGGTATGCAAGATGTACATTTTCTACATACTACTAATTTCAAAAATTTAGGCTTTTAATAGATTGGTAGGTTTGGGAGTAAATACACATGTACGTATTCATGCAGATATTCATGTAACGGAGTGGTCCAGGTATCGCACCTTTATGCCGACGATCACAAGCGGATCTAGGGGGGAGGGGAGTGATTTCGGGCTGAAGCTCCCCCCCCCCCAAAAATGGTAAAATATAACCATGTTTAAAGAAAAAAATTATATCTAAAAGTATTATTGTTCGCCTAATTACATTTGATAGGGCTTAAAGAATCATTTAAACACCATTTCATATAGGTAGTTAGTTTCTTTCTTTCCTCCGACGAATTATCCTGATATGTACATACAAAAAAAATCTTTCGGTCTGAAGCCTCCTCCCCCAAAATGAAATCCTGGATCCGTTAATGCCGACGATTATATCGTTTTCTATTTTTGAGACATTGTTGAGATTAAAGAAGACTTACATCGCATAAGTTCCTGAGCAAATTAAATTGTATTTAAGTTAAACGCTACTAAACCTCAGTTCATTATCAAATTCCAAACCCTTTCTCAGTTCCAATACCAACTTTACTACCCTATTCCTAAAGAACCAAATCATCACCTTCAGTTCTTATTTCAGAAACTTACCGTAATATCCCACATATTCCTGGAATAAGTATATTTCCACATTTCCGGATGGTCAATTTGTTCTCTTAATCTATTCTGTTAATTAATAATATGATCAATGAATGAATCAATCAATCTCGGTTAGTTTTAAGGCAAGAACCCTATACAAATGGAGTCTTTCACAAAATAACAAAAATTAATATCCTAATGGAAATCCCTTTCTAAACTACATAACAGATATTACAACACTCATAAGCATAAATTAAAAATCATATTGGGTAAAGGACAGACAGTTAAAATAGCTCCAATTAATATAAAATCTAAAATTGTCAACACACACATGTATATATAAATAAATACACATAAAACAATAAATACACATTTTTCTAAAAATATTAACATTAAACTATTTTTTAAAATTAAATTAAAAGATTATCCCTATAACTAAGAGAACAAACAAGAAAAATATCCGGCCGGATCACATGTCGATGTACAATATGGAATTTTTGCCATGATATGCGGAGGACAATATTCAAGATTACCCTACCAATTCTCTATGATTTGATATAATTGAGTTAAAAAATATAATTAATAATATGATTTAATAAGTATAAGTTAAGTGTACTCAGGATTTATTTTCATTGTCACTTTTCACACAGTTGTGATAACTATTATTCAATTTCTTTCTTTGTTATGTTACATTATTTATTAATTTAAAATACACTCCTCACTTTTTTTCATTTCCAATCTCCTTTTTTGTTTGTACAATGAGTTTTTATTTAAAGATTAATTTATGATAATTGATATTAAAAGTTGATATACATAGATCGTTTCAACATAACGACGATGATAAATAGATAATTTGAAATATCAGTTGATATCAGAGAACGAAAATTACGAAAACCACTTTTCTTATATTGTCTGACCTCTGGATCAAAATATGTTATGTAAATTATTGAATGAGGAAAACAGTCTAGAAAATAACTTTAAGAAGAAACATTTTTTGTATCAACAATTAAGATAATTTATTAAATAACTTTTTTCCCCAATAACACGATTTAAATGCATGTCATATAATCTGTAAATTTAAGCTATTAAGGTTAACGTATTGTATAAGATATGCGGGTTTC